CACACAAACACACACACACCTCTGGTTTCCAGGTTTGTGGAGTGTAGCTGGAGCTCCAAGTATCTGAATCCTCCTGTTGATGGTCCCTTCTGACCTGGAAAACACACACACACACAAAATCACTAACTTTAGCTTGTTTTCCTCCACCTCTCCCTGCTCAAACACCCCTTTGCACCACCCTGTTTTCTATTACCACTTCTTTTTCCATGCAGCGTCCTTACCCTTTCGTCAAACATGGCTCTCCTCCAGCTGCTGCCGTCAGCGTCAGGATTCATACCTGAGGAAGTGAGTAAAAACAATCAGAGCAGTGCAGGGCTGACAGACACTGACGACTGTACACAGATGGGCAACATTGTCACAAAGAGATTTTCCCCAGGAGGTGGAAAAGGTTGTTGTTACTGTACTGGCTTCCGGACTTTGCATCTAAACAAAATGTATTCTAATACCAAAATCGCATGTGGCTTGATGTGCTTCTTGGTGGCACAGGAAAATCAGTTAAAACAGAGACTCAACTGCGAGGGTGTGTTGAGAGGGTACAAGTACACACATTTTTCTTGTGTGATAGATAAGCGAAACCTCAAACAGTACTCCTGAAAACCTGGCACGGACGGTGTTCTGCTGCGACCACAAGACATTCCTGCAAATTACATAAACTGTCACATCTAGTGTCGTAAATCTAACTAGCTTGGCACTTTAAAAGTCATCACCTACAACAGGTGTTACCAGATTTCCAGTCTTCCATATGCAAGATGCTTTTTCATCCATTTATTGTGGGATTACGTTGCATGAACAATGAAGCCCAGTGTCCCAGCAAAGTCCCACCCACTCCCTGTTCCAATTCAATGCTGATGACCACTGAATGTAAATCAACTCAGTCACAGCCTTCAATGAGCTGCTATGGCACTCGCGTGTTGGCTCTCTGGCAGAGCAGAAGCCAATTATTACTCCTTTTAACTCCGTCCGTCATCTTTCTAATTATAGGGTGGTGTATATTTTAAAAGACAACCTCACTGTTTGGTTTTTAATGAGTTTGTGGTGTCAGTGAGTGAATTGCAGTTACAGTACTTGTGGACTAGTCTGTCATTATCACCAGGGTGGAGATCTCCAAACACACACACCCTTGAGACATGGGAGCCAATTTTGGCAACACAAGTAATCCTAGAGCAGCGGTTAAGAAAAGAAAGAGAGGAATATTTTTATCTCCATCTGCACTTATCCAGTCTTTCTCCTTACCCTTCTTCTGTTGCCTTTTCATCACAATATTCCCCACAGCACTCATAATGCATTTGTTTCCAGTCTTTTTCAAAATGACTGTCAGTGCTTTGTTTGGTGAAATTCAATGATTCAAAATTTGAAATGAAAAAAAAAAAAAAGAAAAATTGAAGAAATTTTTTTTTTCGGGCCTTACAGGCTGTCCACCTTCATACAGGGCACAAATATTACATCTAAACAACAAAAGAGACTGGAGGTCTTTCATGTGGTTATTGTATTAATGTGACGTTTTGGTCTGTTTTGTGTGGGGGTTTTTTGGAAACTATTTCAGGTTACTCTTCTGACGCAGACAAAAACACATTTTTGATGGACAATTCAAGTCAGAAGGATTTTAAACAAGCACTGTTGCACTTGCATGTAGATTACAGGGGCGAGGCTACGTAAATCCAATATAGACAGTCAAATATGCAGTTTACATAGTCAAACATACAACTGGTAATTATGGGGAAGTAACAATGAAATACCAGAGGGTTTTTTTCTTCTCCATTATTTTATCATTAACTCAACTACAACTTTTCTACCAAAGGATTCAAAAATGTGCCCAGTAGACAGTATCACCTCATAACAATCATGTACCAACACAAGCAGCCATTTCTCCATCGGGACATTTATTAACTGCAGCCCTTCATAGTTATCTGTGTTCTTAAGTGCCCGTGTGACCTACATAGGGGAAAAACAAGCCATCCCTTAAAGACGCATACGCAGAGCCGAGCCTAAGAGTGCTGCTGTGGTAACCGGTGTCGACAATCTTAGTCAGGCAGTTTCTTCTCTATGGTTTTCAGGCGATGAACATGTCACTACGTTGCTGTGCACAAGAGAAAACCACAACACTTGCAGTGACATTGCTTCTAGTTTTTAGTTTGGACGCACTGAGCCAAAGAGGATTATAACAATAAAATGAATCACGCAGACTGTACTGTAGGATGTTGGTGTATGTGCACAATGTACAGTAGAACAATGAGATACACAGTGTTTACTTTGTAAAAAGATCAGTAGTGAGGGTGTAAAAGATGATGCCCTCATGAGCACTAACGCTTTATGCTGGGTGTTTTCTTTCCACGTGAAACCTGACTGTTAGTTTAGAGCAGGGGTCAGCAACCTTTACTATCACAAAGAGCCATTTTTTGCCAAAAATGAAGAAACAAATAATCTGTCAAGAGCCGTAAAACATATTTCTACCTTATAATGCTAAATTTCTCACTGCAGATCACAGCCAGCATAATCTTTTGTCAAAGCTGCAGAATGCCACTTGAGAAGGACGGCACAGTGGATCAGTAGTTAGTTAGAATTTCCCTACGAGGATTAATAAAAGATAATTTAACTTCTTCGAGGTTGCCCCAATCCCGGAACTGGATCTTTGACTTTATGATTTAAGCATTTGTTGACCAAGTGTAAATACTAGGAGCTTAATGAAGAGCCAATATTTAATCAAAGCCTGTGTGTAAAGATGTCATTATACTTTGCGATGACTTGAGAAAGGTCTACAGACTGAATCACCATATGTAGCCCAACCATCTGTTTCTTGTTTATATGTGACTACTGTACTAAATTTAAGCACATTTTAGTCGAGTATGATTTCATCCCTGCAAACTTTAACAGAGTTATGTGGATGGGAATTACAAACAAGCCATGATAATAAAGACTGCAGTTTGGGTCCATGCAATGAGGGAAATGGATTTTTTATAGTGACAACTTCCCTATAAAAATAAACCTTAAATATCTTTCAACAGGAAAGTCTTTGTACATCTAGGTGTGAGTTATTTGAGCTGTTGTTGAGCCATGGAAATAACCGAAAATGTGTATCACTGTCTGAAACAGCCTGCCCTGCCCTGCCCTGCGAGCACAATATTTGGGCAAAACTTCCTTGTATCCAACTGCAGCGCTTCTTAATCAAAATCTACATTTCAACTGTCTCAATACTTTAAAACTGTCTGCTGTTTTGTTGTTGTCACCTCCTGTGATTGATTATGATTTAATGAGAAAAATAATTGCTGTTACATGGAATCACTTCAGTTGTGTGTCTGATATTTGGACCCATCCCATGTGGAAAAACTGGAATTCTAATTAGTCAAAATAGTCTTAGCACTTAAATGAACACTTCTGACACCTTCTGAATCCCTTTGTCACCCCAAACACCTGAAACTATGATGGCATATTCCCATGTGCCCACCTGTCGCTCTTCTATGGCACATTTTTAGATCCTCGTATCGCTCTTTCACCTCTGTTTGGCGGCTACATATAGTCCTTCCCTCGAGAGAAGACCCACCGTGACGAGGGGGCTACAACCCAGGAATGTGTAGATAGGCAAGCCCTTTAATGTAGGTCTCAGGCATGTGTTTACACGTCAAGCTTTGTTCAAAATGCCTGTGTCATGTTTTGTTATTTCTACCTTGTGGGTAGACACCAACCTGACAATTTTCACTGTTCTCATCTCCAACCAGGCCAGTGTGGTGACACCCTCATGTTATACTTTGGGTGCAAGTACAATGCAGCAGATGGTAAGCTGAGGTGTAAACACGATAAAGGGCAGGAAGTTTGGTAACCCAGCGTGAGACGAAACTTCCTTTTGAGTGTGAACCTGAGTGTGGTCTGACCATCCCCCCTCTCGCTCTCACACACACACACTGCGCCATTTCTTTAAGTTGACCTGTTGATTCACCTGCTGCTGGCTCATGTTTCCTGTACCTCCAGCATTATTCATATAAAAGTAAAAGCCAAAGTGGATGTAGGGATATATACTGGTTCACGCTCACATAGGAGATCTGTGGTTCATATTGCATTGAAGGTGATCACATTCTGTTTATGTAATTTCACATTCAATAAATGGCCAGAAAAATGGTAAAAACCTTTGTAAGTTATAATCCAATACAACATTCCTGCAATAGGCTTAATTTGGTGTCATTTTAAATAGTTAGGTTAGTTAGTTAGAGGTTTAACATGGAACATGTGTCTTTGTTTCAACACACAGATTCTGCTTTGTGGTCAGCCTTTGGTGTTGACACTTGGTTAACTACCTGATGCCTTCAATTGTACTGCAGCCCAAATATTTATGCAAGTTTATGTGGCAATGCTTCTTTTTTTTTTCTGCATGCCTTTCCCTTATCAGCCTGCTGCATCAGTGCGGTCTTAAAACGATGCATTGATTTTAAAAAGTTTTAAAAAGCACCAACACTTGTTGAGTAAGGAGCCGTCGTAAACACAAACTTACTGCTATCACTGCTCCATGCTTTTGCAGCGACCATCTCATTGTAGACGGCCACAGCTCCGACCAGCAGGATCGCCCCGAACAGGAGATATTTGCCGTTGCGCCGCAGTTTCTTCAAGGGGAAAAACGCCGCGATCATCTTGTCTCCCGGGCGAAACCTCCTCCGAGTTATTCATCGGTTGTGCCACCCGCTTTGTCATCAGGAAGGGACCGACCACCAGCCTGCCACCCCACCGCTGCTCCCAGTGGGTGCACACTACAGGCGCCCTGGATATCCCCAATGTGCGCGGCCCCTGGTGGCTCTCATCCCGCAAAAAAAACTCACCATGCCCCACCGAGGGAAAGCCGGCCGGTTCTGTATAACACTGAGCAGCTCTATCAAAGGGGGCTTCCTCGGTGCTTCCGTATCTCACACAGAGAGCTCCCCGTCCTGACCTCTGCTCCGGCTGGTCCAGCACTATGCGCACACGAAGTAGCTCAAACAACGGAGTGAGCGATGAAATCTCACCCCCGCTCTTTACTCCTCACACAACTTTTCGTAGAGTTGCGGACAGAAAGGTGCAACAGCGCCAGCGTTTGCCTTTCAAAGTAAAAGCGTGTGCCACAGTGAAGGTCAAACAGCGCTCGCATAGCTGTGATTGAGTTTCTTCACTGCACATTACCGATGAACTGTCTAATTTAGTTCAATTTAAACGTATTTGTTTGGTATATTGTAGTAGACGCGGCGAGACGTTTGTCAGCGGGTGATTTATTTTGAAATCTGCCACCGGAAACGCGTTGTTTTTAGGCAGCTTGACGTCGCTCTGAGATTGGAGGGAGGAGTGAACATGGGCAACACCCATCACCCTTTACCTGGGATGTACCTGTATTAACTGTATACTTCCTTTACTCATTTATTTCCTTTTCTGATATTATTTAACACTTTAAACGCTTTATATGACTACGCATAGCCACCACTACAGGCAAGCCTTTTCATAGATATCCTTGTTTGTTTTTCTCATCTGTCGTGTCTCTTTTAATTTATCCCTCCCTTTTGGTTTTTATCTTCCCTTTGTTTGTCTTTAGGCATGCTATAACTATGTTCTGTGTGTTTTTGTGTGCATTGTTATGCTTTATTTATTTGTTGTTTGGAAAGCACTTTGGATCTGTGTCAAAAAGGTGCTATATAAATAAAGGTTTACTTACTTACTTAAAGTTTTACTTACATGTATGCAGCCTTAAATTATATTTATAATACAATTATTAGATGAAGAACCATTTCAACGGTGGTCAGCACTATCTGTCCACTGGGCTGCTGCTTTACTAGCTAATTTTATGAAGTATTATTGAAGTACATTTGTATATATATTATATTTGTATATTATATAAGTCTTGCTGTTTGGGAAATTTGCATAATACAAGTGAGAACGATTAGCTCGGGCTCTCAGGTTATTTAGCCTTAAATAACATACTAGTACTAACATAATGTAGGTTATGCAACAATTAGACCACAAAATAAACTCTAAAGGGATATAATATTTATTAGAATATTTGTTGGGAGTGAATCTAACCCTGAACTTTTATGTTGTTATTGTTGATCCACCTAATACGGACTGTGTGTCCATTGTAAATCCACTCTCTTGAGGGTTTATTTGTCTACTGTCAAGCAAGCAAACAAAGAACAAAGGAATTGGCTCCTGCTGCTCTGGAAGGAAAAATAAAATACAGTTCCTCCTTGGAGAGTACAGCTCCTGTACCTCCCTTCCTTCCTATATAAACTAAATAGTGCTTATGTCACAAAACAAAACAAAGAACCACCTAAAATCAAGCAGTCTCAAAACCCAAGCAAACATCTAGCCTGGAATAAATAAAATAATAAATAAATGATGAATAACTCCTTCACTTTGTTTTATCGTCCACCTGTAGAGAACAGGCAGCGCTGGGTCGTGATCACACCGGAGACAGATCACATCTGTAAGCTGACACCGGTGTCCCTGTGAGAGAGCTGGAGGATCAGATCAGATCAGATCCTGTTCGTCCTCGGGAAAAGAAGACTCCGACCTCCTGACTACTGCAGGTACACACAGGATGCAACACTGTTTGGACATCTAGCAGAATGCTATACATTTCTCCTCTGCAGATAGAAAGTAAAACCTGTTTAAGGCTACCTCTGATGATTAATCAATCTCCTTTTCGTATTCTTGATTAATAATTTGTTCAATAAAATATTGGAACATAATGAAAATGGCTATTGGCAATTCCCCACAGTTGACTGACATATTGCAATGACTTTGTCTGGTCAACAGTGCATGATACTGTATTGACAATTCATAGAAAACAAAGAAAAGTAGAAGGATAATCTTCACCTTGGAGGTTATTATCAAGATTGTTACTGATTCATTTACTGTTGATAAGCTTATAAATTCATTAAAAAAGCTTTAAACCTCTCCAAAATGTCTAAAATGAGTCACACATGTGCTCCTTTTTTAAAGATATGTGAGAGATTACAAATTCAGGATAAGATTATGCAATAAATATCTTAACAACAAACTATATAAACTACAATATGAACTGATTAACTCAAAGAAAACCTTTATGTCTTCATTGTTCAAACCGTTTGTGCTATACATGACATAACATGTATGAACAAGTTCCACATTGAGTACTGTGAAATACCAACTGTCTGCACATTCCTTATTTTACATAAAGTTACCACAGTGCACGTAGACAGAGTGATATAAAAGCAGAAGACAGGACTGCATGTTAACAGTCAATAATATCAGACACAATCAAGTTGTAGCTATTGTTTATTATATCGTTCTGTCAGGGCAGACCAAGCAGTGACCCTTCCAACAGACAAAGATAAACTCAACACACAACCCACAGCTCCGTTTTTAAATTAGCCCCCCAAGCTCAGTTTCTGACCAACTCTACAGGTGCTGTTGACTAAAAATGAACAAACAGGGCTAGCATCCTCCTCTAGCATACAGTCTGTAACAGCCCGAATCTGATGAGCCATATATGCACACGTTCAAAACATTTTACTTTTTTTACAGTAAATTAAGACTAAAGACTTGACTGTTTATTACTCGAGTGTGTCCAGGAGAAGCTGATTAATGTCCTTTCTAGCTGGCTGCACATATTCCAGTTAATTAATTGGTTGTATTCATCATTTTGAGAACAGTACAGAAAATCACAAGCACAACACTGGGGTGTGGGGGGGGGAGTACAAAGTCAGTATTTCCAAAGAAAAGGTGAACAGTCCTGTACCCTGGGGGTTATAGGGGAGCTCCGTATTTAGATTGAGAAAGAAGCTCTGACAGCTATTCCAGGTTAACGTCTTATTACATCAGCTATCCACAGTGCTGCTACATACGTACTTTGGGACACAAGCACTCTAACATTCAAACGCATCACATCTATGCACACAACCATCACAACTCCAGGAATTGATCAGTAGGCCCATGAGAGGAGGGTTGGATGGATAGCATAAAATGTGAGGAGGGGTGTAGGACAGAGGGGGGTAGTGCAAGGTGAATGGTCTAGCCCTTGACGGGTGAGGGTTTTGAAATGCTGCACTTAACACTTGGATGCACTTGTTTCCTACCCAGAACGCTGTGAGAACACATGCACAGTTCAAAGCTGTGGGTTGAAACGGTTCAGGGGTGGGGTTGTGGCATACAATTCATTTATTAAAACCACGTCCCACAGTGCCATCAGCTGGAGAAGCCCCACCGGCTCCGCTAGCAGCCACAGCAAAAAGCCCGGACACAAAGAAAGCCAGAGAAGACACTCCCAAAGATCAGTGCTCTTGTTTTTACACGCTCGACCTCATACACGCACACACATTTCATATGCTCACACAGTCACACCTTAAACACAAATGGCTGAAAATACAAAAGTCTGAAGAACAGATGAACCATAATAGTCACATCTTTATCTACGCCTTTGCTTCGCTTGCATCCTCCTTTTCTCCGTTCTCAATCTCCATCTCATCTGCACCGTTCTCCTTGCTTCCAGTCTTCACCTTCTCTGCTTCTTTCTGTTCGTGGGGAGCGACAGAAAACACAAACGAAATCAGCATTTTGTCACTTTTCAGTCAGTCAGTCTCTTTGACAGTCTAAAAGCATGCTTATCCCACCCTCTGGTGGCTGTTGTAGAAAACACAATCCCTCACCTTTGAATCCCTCTCTGCAAATTTCTGGAACATGTTGGCGTAGACGCGTTTGTCTTTCTCGTGCTGCTCCTTGATACGTTTCTGACAAAGAACCACCTGGCGGGACATAAAGAGGGAGAAGTCAGAAAACCATATTTACAGATATGACACATGTATAGCAACAGCCATAAGACAATGGAAGGTTTTTAAGATTCAGATTCGTACTGCAATTCAATCAGATGTTATTTGAAGACCAATCTGATAGGAGCGTTGTCACAGTATACAAAAATGTCCCCACCTATTTTTTTAGTAATTAAAACTAGATATAATCTAAGAGAGCAACATGTGTCTGTTTCATTTTGGATTATAGAACAATAAATATAGAATATATAGAATTGTATTTTAAGACACGTGACATCATACCTGGCTCTTGGCAGCTTTGTTGGCAGGATACAGTTGAACAACCTGTTGAAAGTCATCTCTTGCCCTATCAAACTCCTTCATGCCAAAGAGTGCCTCGCCCCTTCGGAACAGAGCCTTCTCACTGGATGCATCCAACTCCAAAGCCTATAATAATGAAACGGTTACAGCATTTAACCACATAAATAAATAAATGAATAAATAATCAACAATTATAATAATACAGTCTACCCAATAATTGACTTTTGTACAAACTATACTCAACGTAACAAAAAACTAAGGCACTTCTAACTCGAACACCAACACGTCTACCTGCCAAGACAGAAGGAATCGTTGACAACTTGTTGTCAAATCCGTGTAAAGATAAAGTTTACCTTATCACAGCTTTCTAGAGCTTGGTTTGGCTCCTGTAGTTTAAGGTAGCACATGGCCAAGTTCAGATGTGCAGCCAGCCGCAATGCTCTCGCTTTCTTCTCGTCCTCTTCTGACAAACCAGATTCATGTTCCAGCCAAGACACGATCCTTTTGTACTGCACTGACGCCTGCTTGTATTTCCCCTCCTAAAGCATACGGAATCAGTGCATTAGAAAACACAAAAAAAAACCTGTCTTAAAAATAGCTGTATGCTTTGTAAATATATTATAAATACCCCCTGTGTACCTTAAAATACTGTGTTCCTTTCTCTTTGACAATACTGCTCTGTTCCAGCTTCTCTCCAGTGTTCATCTCCCACGATTCCTTAGCCTAAAGAAAACAAAAGTCACTGTACAAAACTGACATGCAATTGGCCCACTAAAGCCAAGTTGTGTTTGCAACACAGTGCCAAGATATGTGTACCTTCTCAAACGCTGCCAGTTTGATTTTGTATTGCAGTGTTGCTCCGCCAGGAATGTTATAATTTGCATTTCCAGCATTCCCAAAGCCATACCTACGCATCAAAGAGAAATCAGAGAAACTTAACATTAGTCATCTCAAATGTGCAGTATAAATGTTGCAGTTTAACTTAAACAGCATTGCAGTGTCCTATTTTCTAAAGTAGACTGGATCATTTTGTAGCTGAAGGACTTTTATTTTTTTGTCATATCACAGCTTAGAATTTCAGTTTTGTTATCCATTAGTCTAAAAACTAGGATTTCTTTATAGCAACATTAAACACCATCCCAGTGGAGTCTTCAATGCATATTTCCTTTTACCAGCACAGGCTAATTAACAACAGTTCAGCGGTTCAGCTTGAGAGATGTAGATTAACACACAAATGATATGATAAAACAAAAACATTAAAGAAACACTGCTTATTAAAACACATCACTACAGCAAGCATTTATTTGTCCTAATACATGTAATCATACTTAGGCTTCATAGTGAAGAGTGCCTCCTCCCCCTGCTCCATAGCCATGATAGCTTTCTCTACTCCAGCTGGCAAGCCAAGATTCTCTCCATCTCCAATCTCAAACTTCAGTTCTCTCTCGTCAAACACACGTCCCTCGCAGGAACCCTCCACAGTTACTGAAAGGAGTTGAAAAATGTTGGTATGCAGTAGATAAATAATATTCAGCTTTGTTAAGGATGCCTGTAAATTATTTACAGCAAAGTTACACAGTGGTGTATGCACTGTAAACAAATTATAGTAAAATAATACCACAGTCTGACATAGGTGGTGTAAACTGTTGAAATGAGTCATTTAAATGCTGCTAGTCAGTATCTATAAACACTATTAATGTAGTTACTAGCCTTGCGTAGGCTGTCTTTATAGCGGAAGGGAGCCCACGCTTTGGTTTGAAACCTCAGGAGAATTTAACACGATAGCGTTATGACATAGATTAACGCATTTAAGTATCAACCTCACACTTACTAAATATAAAAAGATGGCTATAAACATGTGTAAAGCAGCAGTAATAGTCAGCTTTGACTGTCAACAGTTACAATAGACACAGGTGGTACTTCTGTCTTCTGTCTAAGGAATTCAAGTTGCTTCCATCTGGCTGCAAGATGCAGGACCAATACACTTCATTTGACCATTTGTTCCTGCCATCATTTGCCTTTTAAATACCTTTATGTGATCTCTGTGTTGTATTTATTGTTTGTGCATTGTTGTCTGGTGGTTAGGTAGTTACTGCTGGCTGTACAACAAATTGCTCTTTGGGGATAATAAAGATATCCTTGATCCAGTCCTCCTCCATATCCTCAACTGTTTTAAACACCAATTTAAATATGCTTAATGCACAAATTCCATCTCAGTGCTCATAGCAACCTTGTCAAATGTGTGAGTAGGTAGGTAGGTAGGTAGGTAGGTAGGTAGGTGTCGCAAGTGTTGCTGCAAGTACTGCAGATGTAGATGGAGAAGATGAAATATGAACCAGAAAGTCCAGTTTGAAGTCACTATGGCAATTGTTGCTAAATTGAGGAAAGGATCTCCTGCAAGTAAATGTCAGCTGTTAAAATGTGCTCGTTTGTCTCTAAAGCTTGTGAGGTGAACAGTAGAAGCGGCACAATGCTACAAGGTGTTATACCTGCAATTTTGAAATGTATTGTAACATAAAACATAAACAACAACATAAATCCGAGCTGACTCCAGCCTTTCCTCTCCATGAAGGATGAAACTAATAACATTGTACAGCCACCTTTCAAGCCTACAGTGGGTCAGTGTTTGGTATTTCAAATAATACACACTTATATTCTTTACTACAATCTTTGATGTAACAACGAGGCTACACAACAGGAAGCTTTTCCTTAATTAATAATATTAACCATGTGTAATAATTAAATTATTAATAGGTATTTAAGTTTAACATATGTACCTACACACTTCAGTAATGATTCATGTGTAGCCTCAGGCTCTGCGTGCCACCTTAATTATTTTAATGTTAGCGAAGAAATAGCCGTGTCTGAACGTGTTACCTTCAACAGCAGCTCCTTCATTAGGTTTGGAATATCCCTCCCCTTTAGTGATAGTCCGACGGATGATTCCTCCATCCTCATCCTCAGTTATGTCCTCACCTCGAAACTCAAAAAGTTCCACCTACAAGCGTACAGACACGTTAAAATGAATATCTTTTCACACAAATATAGAGTCATGGTATACAACGGATAGTCAAAATAACCTGATGTCACTAAAGCTCACCTCAAAAACAAGAGTAGCATTCGGGGGTATCTTGGGTGGACTACCTGCAGATCCATAAGCATACTCTGGTTTACAGATGAGCTGGCACAACTCACCCACTTTCATTGTGGCTACACCGATGTCCCATGCCTTTATTACTTGGCCTGCAGAGAGAGAGAGGGGGAGAGAGAAGACCGATTAACGACACTGGCTGTGCAGCTATGGCGGGTGAATGCTCATGCGTTTGCTAGATACGAGACCAACCTTTGCCCAGCTCGAAGGAAAACTTCTCTCCTCTGTCTCTGCTCGAGTCGAAGTGAGTACCATCCAGAAGCGTGCCCACGTAATGTACAAACACTTTGTCACCAGTCATGGGCAGCTCTGTGCCTGTGCCTTCCCTTTTCACCAGCTGGGAGCAGAAAAATCAGCAGGGATTTATAAAATGTAACAGACATGTTTCAAACATGTGTGTCCTCCCACCCACATCTATGCGTGCATGTATAGAAGAGTGATTACAATATAAAGCCTTAGATTTTATTGATTCATTTGTTCTTTAGGGATTTATAAAAAATGTCACATTAATTGTCAATCAAGTTTAAAACATGTGTCCTTTCACCCTCCCTGCAGTTGCATCATGAGAGGTAAAGCTGCCAAAACCTAGATTGTGAATGAACGTGAGCTGTACCGTCTCATTCAAACCCGTGTGAGTGTGTGTGAGTGTGTGTGTGTGTGTGAATATCAAATGCCCCCCCATCAGCATTAATAGCTCCTGCTCCAGGGCTGCAGATCCTTCTAGAAATGTGGTCGACTGAGCAGCTAATAGCCCTCGTTATTGACACCCTGGCAACAAGTTAAGCCACGAAACCAACGCCAGGGAATAAAATAAAGTGCGTGGCGAGGCTGTCAACAATGTAGTCGGCTCGCATTGGTTGTTTATATTTACACTGCACGCGATTAGCCTCAGCTAACAACAGCTAACGTTAGCCTAGCCGAGTGAGTAACCAAGAAACAATAAACCCTCTGACTGTAACTTACCTTTAAAACACCCCCGTCTTTCTTCGGCGTGACATCCTCCCCCTCCATCGGGATGGTGTGTTGTCCTTCACTCGTCTGCTCCTCTGCAGTCATTGTCATGAAGTAATGTTTAGCTCTTCTCTCTCTCTCCTAACCCTGAGCTGCACTACAATTCAAACTAACACTGGGCTAATGGCAGTGGCGGCTAAATGCTAACTACTTCCACACACAAAAAAAAAAAAAAAAACCCACGTCAAGTGCAGCAAAGCAGCAGATCTTGAATAAGGTCAACGCTAAGTAGACAACTAACGCTGGTTTTTTAAAAGCTCTCCGCTTCTAACCCCACGTTACTTATGAACGCTAACTGAGAATTAATATATATATATATATATATATATATTTAATATTTAAAACACACGCTACAGCTTTAAAGCTTTAACTTAGTCGTTTTGCAGCAGTCACACTTGTATGGCAGCAGGATATGAGCTTCCGATCAGGTTGCTGGAAGTCCACGTTGTCTTGCTGCCAAACCGTCTGACAAGATATAAAGAAGGGCAGAGAATTTTCCAGAGGCTCGAAGGAGGAACCGGGGGGTGAACCCGCGTTTTGGCGTTGCCTATACCTCATGCGCGTCTCCTGGAAAGGCGGTGCTTGTGCAAAAAGCAGCACAAAGCCGCTATGTACAGATATGTTGTGCAGTCGCATTAACGGATAATAGTATACTACGTTTAGATATTATGTAATAACCACGTAGTTACGCGTTAAAGCGCAAAATGCGACATAGCACCGTCCGCGCAAGAGTTGCGGGACGATAAAACACGCGCTCCTTGTGTTATCTCGCGTCCCATTGGTCAGATTGTGCAGCCACTGCTTGCTGTTTGGCGCGGTTGTTTGCAGTCGACAACACGAGATTAAAACACAGAGTTAAAAACTTTTTAAGGATAACTGCGGGTACGTATAGCAACGATCTACGTAAAGATTGTGATCGGCTACTAGATATAAGAGTTCACTTTATAATAATCACTTGGATGTATGTTAGACAGCGTTAGAGATATAATTTTAATACTAGCCACTAAAGTCAAATGTTTGCTGCTTGACAGAACATGTAAAGCTCTTGGTTAAATGGGGATTTACGTCGTTGTAGAGTAGGTAAACTGAATGAGAAATGCGTGTAATAAGATTGACTGATCTGCACAAAAGCAGAATTTGGCGCCCTGGTGCTTCATGTTAGACAAAACATTACTACCAGGCGTGAAGGCTCCTATCTAAAACAAGCCAGTCTAACCACAGTATACTAGTAAGTTTTGTGTGTGTGTGTGTTGTGTGTGTGTGTGTGTGTGTGTGTGTGTGGTGTGTGTGTGTGCGCGCGCGCGCGCTGTAGCCAGGGGCTCATTTCATGATGACCATATTTGAGCTGAAATGTTTTATATCAAGTTAACACACAAGTTATGCTCATCTTCCAGGGAGGTTCGTGATTATGGAGACTGGCAGGGCCCAATTTCCATTTCCCTACCAGCCCTACAACATTCAGGAGCAGTTTATGCAAGCCCTGTATAGTGCACTTGACCAGGGCAAAGTTGGCATCTTTGAAAGTCCAACTGGAACGGTGTGTATGTGTGCATGTATATAAGAGTGATTACAATAAAATGCATTCTTTTTTTTTTTTTGATTAATTGATTTGCTCTTTCAACATGCATGTCCTGTAACCAGGGCAAGTCTCTGAGTCTGATATGTGGAGCGCTGAGCTGGCTCACAGACTATGAGGAGAAGAGGCGACAGGAGGCGGCTTCTTTGCTGCAGGAAGGAGAGGCATCTCTTTCCACTGCTGCTGCCCAGTCCACCTCCACCTCCAGCTCCTCGGCAGAGCCTGACTGGATCACTGACTTTGTTCAAAAGAAGGCAGAACGTGATTTAGTGTCAAAGTTGAAGGTAAAAAATGTCATTTTATTTAAGCTGTGACCTTGCCGTGGATCTCTGGGAATCTTGACTTTTAAATATTATTGCATGTTTTTATGTGTCAGGAGGAAGAACTGAAAAGAAAGAAGAGGGAAGAACGATTAGAGTTGATCAGAAACAACGTTCAACTGAAGTATGCAATGAAAAGAAAAGTAAGTGATCTTGCACAGTGGCTTTTTAAAGAGCCCAGGCATCAGAAATGAACCCCAAAAAATTACAGTCCACTGCAAGTTGAGCCTCTACAACCCAATATATGAATTTATGTGTCTGTAGAGCTGTGAAGATGATGAGGCTTTCAAGTTGCTCCAGCTCAGTAAAGAGGAAAAAACCGAGACGCAAGGAGATGAAGAAGACGCGGATCTTGTTGTCGCAGAATACGAGAGCGATGACGAGTCAAAGACCAGGAGCAGGTGAGGGCCGCCGTTTATCTGTTACCAACCTGTGTATTACTGTAAAAGGTTTAAATGAACAGACACTGACAGCAGGGGTTGTCTTTGCTCTCGTGCTCAGATTTTGTGCTGCGGAGGATGACACAGACGACGAACTGGTTGAAGAACATGTTGCTAAGGTGTGTGTGGAACGAATGTCCCACGGGGTATAAAACATAATAATTAGTGCCATGTGTTACCCTGAAGTGAGACTATACATTTGGATTTTTACAGATTTACTACTGCAGTCGCACTCACTCCCAGCTCGCTCAATTTGTCCATGAGGTTCAAAAGAGCCCCTTCAGCAAGGACATCAGTCTGGTCACTCTGGGCTCACGGCAGGTATGTGTACACACAGAGGATACCAGTAAAAGGGTTGGATTTTAGTATATTTGGGTTAAGGTCCAGTGTGTAACATTTAGAAGTATCTATTGGTAGAAATGGAATATTATACAAGTTTTCATTAGTGTATAATCACCTGTCTTTCCAGTGTAGACGTTATTTGTCTGTATTTGTTATGTGTCATCCAGAATACTTGAGATCTTTCTGGCTCTTTCTCTGTAAGACAGGCATTCATTCCTCAGAGTTATTATTGGCCTCATTAACTGACATTAACAGTATCTCAATAAGGAGGGCTGAGTATCACAAACATGTTTTCAATTTTGGTACATATTATTCCTCAAGTTTCTTAGCAGCCTATTTCCATATTGATGAATGCAAGATGACTGAAAATGTTTGGGGAAATAAAGCATCGAGAACAATTGTGTGCACAGCTGAAATCAACAGTGAATTAATTGGCTACTAATAATTTGTTAGTTTGTAAACAAGTGCAAACAAGTGAATTATAAAAATGTGTAGAAGTAGGCTGTTTCCAATAAAACAAATTCCAGAACTTTTCAAGTTATTTATACTTCTCTTACCTGTATTTTCTATAATTATTACAACAGTAATTAAAACAGTATATTACGTCTACAGTTCTATCCATCCCACACAAAGAAGCATGCTCTGCATTCATCAGGAACTATTACGTGTATTCAATCAGTAAAACATGATTATTAACCATGACATCTGACAGAATTTAGTAAACATAAAACTGTGTACTTTCCAGAATCTGTGTGTCAATGATGAGGTGCGTCACCTGGGCAGCATCCAGCGCATTAATGACCGCTGCATGGAGATGCAGAAAAACAAACATGGTGAGAGCCCCTCATACACTGACTCCAGTTTTTTAGGAGTTCATAAGAGATTGTTAATAAATAAGATCAGTTTATCTTTGCAACGCTGCCTGTTCTTCCCTTTTATAGAGAAGCAGCATCAGGAAGAGGGTGTAAAGCGTAAGCGAGGCCCAGCAAAGAGTGTGTGTCCCTATAATAAAGCTTCAGCACTGCAGCAGATGAGGGATGACGTTCTGGGGACGGTCCATGATATAGAGCAGCTGCTGAAGCTCGGCAGAGAAACGCATTCATGTCCTTACTACTCCACACGCCTTGCTGTCCCTGCAGCACAGGTAACACTCTCCTCGTTCGTCTCCCCTCATGCTTCATCCTGTGTCTCATTACTTTGGAGATGTTTCGGAGGTATTTTTGATTTATCCGTTAACTTCTTTAGGCGGATAGAAGTTTTAGTGTTAATCTGTATGCTCTGTGTTTATTGTGTCTGCATAGTTGGTGGTGTTGCCCTATCAGATGTTGCTTCATGAAGCTACAAGAAGGGCAGCAGGAGTCCAGCTGAAGGGGCAGGTAGGACTATTTTTCATAATATCTGATTCTATCATAGATTTTCTCATGTTCAGCAATTGTCATTAAGGAAACATTTAGGACACTTTTAGTAGTTTTACCACTGCCACACAACACACAGCAATAATATATGACTTCTTTAGGAATTTGAGGTGGTTTGGGTAGCTGATAACTCTGTCACACTTCACTTCACATTCATTTCTTCACATTAATTTCACAGTGGCCTCAACGCACATCAAAATAGAGAAAAAACAGCTGAATATAGAATCCCTGCAAGTAGCACAACAATGGAAAGTGTATCTAGAGGACACTAAAAAGTGATGAACACAGCTGGGACACGCCTGTTGTTGCCATGGTTTATGACTCATGAAGTTATTGAAGTACTGTATTTTTTTTTTTTTTGCTGGAAAAAATGAGCGTCATCACTTTTTTTGTCCACTGGAACCATTTTCCATTGTTGTCTGTGCTACTTGGAGTGTTTATTCTATTTGGTTGTGTTTTTTTCACATGATGCGCTTGTGTTGTCAAATTGTCAGATGTTTTTATTTGTATGTGAGTTAAGTTGCAGTGTCTTGACCTCTCGGGGGCATATTACTAACACATACTTTCTTTTACAGGTGGTGATCATAGATGAAGCTCACAATCTTAGTGACACACTATCCTGTATTCACAGTGCCGAGCTCACAGGAGCACAGGTAAATATATTCATATATATATATATATATATTGATTTAAATCATGCCTATTCCCTTTAGTATGCTAAAATGTGGATCTTCTACAGCTTTGCCGTGCCCACTCTCAGCTCACCCAGTATTCTGACCGCTATAAGTGAGTATACCGCACAGACTCACACACAAATTAATATTGTATTATCTTCCTAACTCCTGATGTTTCTACAACATCAGGAGCAGACTGAAGGCAAAGAACCTGATGTACATCAAGCAGATTCTGTTTGTGATTGAGGGGCTTGTCCGGGTGCTGGGAGGTGAGTGTGTTTGGGCTCAAATTAGTTTTGAATTATTAATTATTGCCAGTGCGAACTGTGGGTAAGAGTGATGTAAATGTTATCCTTGCAGGTAAGGTGGGGCAGAATCCACAGAGCCAGACTACACAAACAGGTCTGTAGAAAATACACACGCACATGAAACCCACACATTTAAGGAGAAATTGCTAACCTGTAATGTTTCTTTCAGGAACTGAAATGCTTACCATTAACAACTTCCTCTTCAAGGCTCAGATCGACAATATCAACTTGTTTAAGGTAGTTAACAGAAAGAAGTTATACTGCTATTAAAAAATCACAATTATTCCTTCTTAACACCATATCCAAACTGCAAACTCTGAGTCTTTCACTGTCATTCTCACTTCAGCTACAGAGATACTTTGAGAAGAGCATGATCAGCAGAAAGGTAAGTGTTTGATGACTGTGAATCAATTAGTTGTCCAATATTAAATTAATCGCCAACTGTTTTGATAATCAGTCAATCCTTTTTGAGTCATTTTTTATTTTTTTTTAAATGTCAAATTTCTCAAATGTGAGTATTTTCTGGTTTCTTTAGTCCTCTCTGACAGTAAACCAATTATCTTTGGGTTGTGGACAAAACAAGACATTTGAGTGATCAACACTGTGTCCTAAAACTTAAGCCGACGCCCTTTTTCACCATTTTCTGACGATTGATGGGATGATTTATATTTATATAAATACTGCTTAGCTTTGAAAGTGATCTACTGTCATGCCTACAGCTGGTTGGCTTTGTGGAGAAGTATGCAGGAACAGGCGTGAATCTGCACACACAGAGCAGCTCCAACAAGGAGAACCGACGCACAGAGGGCTTAAACCGCTACCTTCAAACGCTACAGAGCAACCAGGGATCTGCACCAGGTCAGAGGGCTGATGTTTATGTCACCACAAGTTGTTAAAAAGGCTATTTTTAGTGCCTGTCAAGCTGTGATGAGACCTAAATTGCACGTTCAGATATTAATGTTCTTCCCACACCACATTCAGTCATTTCCCACTGGCAAACCGGCAATCAACAGACCCTGAACAACGTAACATTCCTCTGGTTGTTTATTATGATGCGTCAGTTCTGTCTGCTTTCATGTGTGCAGTTTCTTCAGCAGACCAGCAGGGGTCTGCAGAGGAGGAGAAAGTGCTGTCTGCATCTCCCATGATGCAGGTGGAGGGTTTTTTCATGGCCCTCACCAACAGCAACACTGACGGCAGAGTGGTGGTGCACAGACAAGGTACCATTTTAAAAACACAACACAAAAAAAAAGACAGTAATGAAATGAAAGTGTTATAAAACACCCCGTTTGTTTTATGTCCAGTTACTTTGTCAGAGAGCAGTGTCAAGTTCCTGCTGCTGAATCCAGCGGTCCACTTTGCCCAGGTGCTGAAGGAGTGCAGAGCAGTCATCATCGCAGGAGGGACCATGCAGCCTGTATGTTATTTTAAATCCACTAAAAATAAACTAAGCCTTTGCTGTGAAAGTTTTGTCATTCTAAAAGATGTTGTATGTAGGTTTCAGACTTCAAACAAGAGCTGCTGTTTTCTGCCGGAGTGGGAGAGGAGCGCATCACTGAGTTTTCCTGTGGTGAGTGGCCCATTTTATAACAGTACTTATAACAGTACTTTCTCTTTTTGTGTTTTTGTAATGCACGCTCTCTTAGTGATGTGTTTATCAATATTTCTGTTTGTGGGAATTTTGGATGAATAATATAATGCTTGACAGAAACTCAAATAGTAATTGATTTTTAGAGTATTAATCTTTCATTGGGTTATGCACTCTTTATGATTGATAAGATAAAAGACTGTCATGATTCTGGTTCTAGTGATGGGAGGTGATGGATTATGTTATAATATCAGAACTCACCAAGAAGAGATGATAAGATCATCAGAACAGTTTGTGTTCTGCAGTGGTCCTCAACCTGAGGTCCTAGAAATGAGCCTACAGAATTAAAGACACGTTCTCAGACTCCCCACAGTTATGTGCTGACAAACCTGCATTGTAAAAGGAATATTGTTGTATTGTATGTATTTAAATGTGTTTGTATTATATATTTAAAATAAACTTTCTTTTTGCGTGGTAACTTTGTCTGTAGGTCATGTTATTCCTCCCGAAAACATTCTTCCCCTCGTCTTGTGCAGCGGACCGTCTGGTCAGGAGCTGGATTTTACTTTCCAAAACAGAGACTCTCCACGCATGGTAACAGAGACACACACATATTTTATTAAGTTCTTGCTGTAATATCGCTGAATGCAGCTGCATTGTTTACACAAGCATTACAGCAAACGTATACCTGTTTCTTGACAGATGGACGAGACGGGGCGTATTCTCTCCAACATTTGCAACGTGGTCCCGGGTGGGGTTGTGTGCTTCTTCCCTTCTTATGAATACTCGAGGCGGATCATTTCTCACTGGGAGGCTAGCGGCGCACTGGCTCGTCTGGCTAACAAGAAGAAGGTACATCAGCAACGTTTCTTTCTTAGAGTTAGTTAGATGAAAAAAGAAACCCATTCTTTATCACACTGTAACTCAAGGGTGATATGGTGTTTTAAGGAAATTGTTTCTTAAAGTAAAAACAGATTTAGTCTTTAAACTATCACAATTACTTTCTCAGATCTTCCAGGAACCAAAGAAAGCCAACCAGGTCGAGCAGGTGCTGAGTGAGTTCTCCCGCTGCATCCAGGTAAAACTGTCACTGCTCAGACATTAGCCCTCGTCACCGGACATTGATAACACACTTATTATTTTAATAGAGGTTATAATGTCACTGTTTGCATGTCTTTTCCATTTGTTAGAGGTGTGCTGTAGACAGTGGTGGGCTCACAGGGGCGTTGCTGTTCTCTGTGGTCGGAGGAAAGATGAGTGAGGGCATCAACTTCTCCGATGACCTGGGAAGATGTGTGGTGATGGTGGGAATGCCATACCCAAACATCAAATCCCCAGAGCTGCAGGAAAAGATGGCCTATCTGGACAAACACCTGGTGAGACTCTTTACTGTCCTAAACCTGGCTAAACAAGTACAAGGTCGCAGGAGTGCTAAGATGAAGCTCATTGTCAGTTTTTTTCCCTTTTATTTTAGCCTCACAGTGGAGGGAGGAGCCCTGGCCAAGCACTGATAGAAAACCTCTGCATGAAGGCTGTCAATCAATCCATAGGTAATGATTCATGACAAAAGTTATGAGTACTTATTTATTCCATAGGTGGTACGCTAGTATGATCAGTATTCATATGCATTTGACTTTGTGTGTCCAAAGGAAGAGCTATCCGTCACCGTGGCGACTATTCCTCCATGGTGCTATGTGACAGACGTTACGCTCGACCTGCTACGCTCTCTAAACTTCCCACGTGGATCAAAGATCGCACCAGCACACACACAACCTTTGGGCCTGCTTTTGCTGCCTTACGGAAGGTAAGAAGCAAGTACTCTTTTGTGCGTCCACACTCAATCTACTGAATCACTAACCCTAAAATGTATTTATATGTTATGTCTGTATGTTCTTCTTTCCTAGTTCTTCCTGGAGAAGAAGCAGAAGCAGATGTAGTTCCACTCACACTGAGCTAAACTGACATTTCCCAAGTATTCAACTTGACAAGACCAGAGGTTAGGAAGAACTTTGGGAAAACCGAGTGCAACAGCGGCCATTCTGCAATTTAAGCAACCCAAGAAACTTAGAAAATAGAGCATGTTCTAATAAAAAGATACATAGATGACCTCTGTAATAAGTTCTTTATCACAACATTGCTGCAGCCCTTTTTGCTGGTTTGTTTACATTCTTAAATATTTTGAAGATATCAGACCTCTTGTGTCCTCCCAGCTGGAGTTCAATCAGGGAGGCAGTTTTCCTGTTCACAGGACATCATACTGGCTTTATTTTACATTTCAACGTTCATGTTCTGTCCATTACTTATGTTCTGCTACTATCTCTGGTTTAGAGAAGTGAAGATGAATTAGAGAATAATCAACACAATTATTTAATTGCACAGTGCCGACAAAGGCCAAAAGGGAGCATTTATCAGTCCGACTCCAGCGTATCACTCCTGTCCTGTAATTCAGTCTGGAACATGGTAGAGGCAAAAATGAATAATAAATACGGAATAAATTCTGAAATGAATTACTGAAGCAGCTACTACACCGATATCAGGCACAGCACTGGGCTTAGGCATCATGTGACTGATTTCACCCTTGAAGAAGATATTAAATATTTAAAGCACTCAATGTAAAGTGTTATGTAATGCAAAAAATTACTTTTATTTAAAGGAGAGATGTTAGTGAAATGATTTCAGTGAGTGTTCTAATATCTACTTTCATGGAAATATGTTTTACAATGATTGTGATTATCAATAAATTGCTTTATTATGAGTTTAGTGATGTTTTGTTTAACTGGTTAGACAAACCAATTTACCTATTATCATTATGAAGCCAATTATTGACCATTTTACACTTGTGTTTCTGTTGGAATTTTTTACAATATTGAATGATTGGATCATTTGTACACAAAATTATTCAACACTATCGAAAGTGTTCATTGTCCTTCGCGTTACGCCTCCCAGTCATCATCGTCTGTTGTCGTATGTGGGGCAGGAAGTGGTGGGATGACATCTGACATCCTGGCAAATGCACCGCCGGTACCAGCGGGAGTGTCACCTGTCTCCCCACCTGCTGGACCTTTACCAGATATGCCTGTGGAGGGAACAGGACACATTTTTTTTACTGCATGCTGTTCCAACCACCTGCATCAGTGTTTTTAAATCTCATCCTTACCTTTCCTTCGCATGGCAAGTTTATTAAAGAGATCAGACATAAAGTCTCCACCGCTAGATGCCGCTCCCACTGCTGATAGACAAACAAAGACAGGCAGTTACTAAACAATCATCCAATCAATATTTTATTTTTTATTAGTAATTGGATTGGTTACTCATTCCCCAGTGCTGCGCTTCAAAGTGGAGCACATCATTACAACAAGACTTTTTATCTAGTAAGTCGTTATAAGCAGCTCCCACTAAAAATGAAATGTTAGGTCATGACCTGGCCAGCCAACCAGAAATTAAGGCAAAGATATGCTGTCTGATATTAGGTCAGACAATTTCAGATACGACTAACTAAGTCGACCTTTTAATGAGGCTGGATTTTATAACACAGGTCACATAGCCATGAATGATGATTAACAATTGATATACATACACAAACACTCACATCCTGACATGCAGAGTGACATTGTATACACTCATGAGTGAATGCTAACTAGGGACTGGTCACGCTCTGCTCAGATTGCATGACTTTCCCATCGTGAAGGCTGCATCGGGTAGCAGTTAATAAAATATGAGCAGAACAACATCACATCTCAAACAATTTGACACCTTGCTCTTGCTCCTTCTGTTTCTTCTTCTCCATCTTGCGCTCTTTAATGTTGCGTAACTTGGCCTTGCCGATGCCTCCGGCGTTGCGGATAGACTCCAGGAGACTGGCGCGGCCGTCTGACGGCTGAACCACCTCACTGGGAGCACCAGACACAGGGCCTGCAATCAGAGAATGACAATTCAGGGTGACAGTGTAATTTAGGTTTTATGCCATTAATGTAAGGTAAGGCCAATCCTAATTTTAAGAGTAGTGAGTTCAGTGTGTGTGTGTATAAAGGAGGAGCAATGTTTTCAACACTTTAATACACTGTCAAGCTTGATTATATCCTTCCACGTGTTTAGCCAGTACAAAAATTCTGCGTTGCGTGCATATAACAAACCTGAACTTGGTGCTTGAGAGACTGCTGCAGGGCTGTCAACCGGAGGAGGAGGTGGAGGAGGGGGTGGAGGGGGAGCTCCTGCAGGGGCGGCGGGAGCGAGGGCAGGTTCAGGAGGAGGAGGGGGAGGAGGAGGTGGTGGAGGAGGTGGAACATTAGGCTGGAGCAGAGGTCCTGAAACAAAGACGTGAAAAGTCGACGTCAGCTTACAAACACAGCATCAACCTAAACCGCAATGACACAGTGAAAAGTGTGTGGGTGTGTACCTGGTGCATTGCTCTCCTCAGAGAAGGAGGGCAGCTCAGGGATGTTGTGTGTGGGCCCGGACGGGGCAAAGCCGGGTCCGAGGTCCGCGCTGTAGGACAGGTCGTCAGCGATGCCTGGAAGGTCAGGCAGGTAGGATGGCACATCTATCTCGGGCACCTGGCCCAGGTCTGGCACATAGAAATAAGACTCTGCTGTCTGTTAGAGAAAAGATTTTCAAGACGAATCATTAAAATGTGTCATTACCAATCTTACGTTTAAAAAAGTCAAATTAATTATGTTTTTGGTTGGAAAAGGGTGTTTGAGGCACCTGTCTCTCCAGTTGCTCTCTCTTCGTAATGGACAATGGTGCGTCAAACGGCTTCTCTTCTTTTTCTGTTTCTAGTGTTGTGTGTGTTTTTGTCACTGCTCCCGCCAGAGGATCAAGGAACACGTACTTCTTATATCTTTAAAAACACACAAATCCAAAGATATGAAGAAAGGATTTAAATCTAATCTGTGTTCAAAGTCAGTATCTTTGTCTATTTGTGTGCGGGTGTGTGTATGTGGACTCACAGGTTCTCTGTAGTATTAAAGAGCAGCAGGGAACTGACAGATGAGATGTTGCGTGGCAAACTGCCCAGCCCTTCTTCTGTCTCATCCTCAGACCTCTTCTTATTGCTCACACACACTGGGAAATACATCAACTTCTCCTGAAAGGAAGATGCACAGACACAGAATGAGATCTGAAGAAATGTCAACTAAATCTTGAATAAGGCAAATCACAAATGCCACCAATGTGCTCCTGCACACAGACGTGCGCAACACACAAAAACAAACGCTGCAATTATATGGTCGGGGACATTGCTTCTAGGGGATATTGAATAATGCATTTCTGCACCAGAGAAAATTGCCAGCAGTGTTTTTATTTTTTCTTTCTCTCTGATAAATACACAGAGATACACACAGTAAAACAACACACATGCAAGACCAAGTGCATGCAGCAGAAAATAAGTTGGCTTTCATAAAGTTTCCTAAGATGGTAACAGAAAAAACTGTGGTGTTCACTATAAATAATGCAGGAGCTTGTGCTGAACCGACACACACACACGAAATCACTTAGGCAAAAAACAAAGCAAAAACACAATCACACATTGTACTATTCTTCATGTCTATGTTGTTTTCATCTCCACACCTCTTTATTAACTTTGGAGCCACAAAATGACAAACTAATATGAAATAGGACTGCTCTCCTGTCCTCTGCCATATCTTCAAACCTGTAAAATAACCTGCCTGAAGAATTCTGTGCAAGTGCCACAGTGCTCATTATGGCCAGTGTAAGGTTTCATTAAGTGAATGCCAGCTGGTCATGTAACTTGTAGCTGTGAAAAACTGAGGCTGAAATAGATGAAAGCTTATCAGTGTTGGCTGAGTGATAAAGGTTGTTTTTTTTAAACATGCATGCTGCTAATCATGAGAAAACAGCTGTTTGTGTAAGGAAATGATTAGTTAGTATAACAACAATATAGCAGAAACTTAGCCAGCACAGTGCTGATAGTAACATGTGAAGCATACTTTATAAACAGGCGCTAAAATGTTCTTTGTAAGAGGAAGATTGTATCCAGACCAGGTCAAATCATTATTTGAAATACATATGAAAGTTTTAGTGTTTGTCAAACTGAAGTTTGGGGGGAGGCTCTACCTGTGTGTGTTTTTGAATATTCAGACATTATCAGATCAGGGGAACGTGGCCTGATGATAATTATCCTGACCTGTAGCCAACTCCAACTGGCTCTTAAAGCATGAGCATGAATTATGTGCAGTTTAAGGTTAAATTAAAAAAAAAAAAGAGCCATCCATCTTTCGCAGTTCATTCAGGTCTGGTTCGTGTTAGGCTGGGCAAAGAACCCCAGATGTCTTTTTCTGACATGTCATCCCACTCTTCCTGAAGGATCCATGAGGTGATTCCAGGTCAGACAGGATATAAAATACCTCTTCAGGGAGGCATGCAGGAGACATCAGACGCTCCCATCACCTCAACTGGCTCCTTTCCAACGTGAAGGAGAAGTACTTGCACTTTCCAGCTCCTTCTGGATATCTGAGCTTTTCACTCTGTCCCTACAGGCCCAGGCATCCTGAGAATGTCATTTAGGCTATTTCTATCAATGATTTAATTATTTCAGTCATTACTCAGTGCTCAGGGATCAGATTGACATCTACAATACAGTGGATGTCACTGCGACAGTAGACAGAAAGATGGTTGCTCCCATTTATATAAAAAAAGGTGACCGGAGAGCATATTCCAATTATCGAGGTAATGCACTGCTCATCCTCCGCAGAAAATCATATGTCAAGAGTGCTGGAAAGGAGACCTTGGATTCTGGAGGAGAAAGATGTCCTGGCCATGCGACAGTGTCTCTTAACTGCTGCGTACAGTATATACTGGTGGGGGATGTCATTTGTCCCTGGAGTCTATATGAATGTGAGTCAAGACTTCAACCCAAAGCCACTGCTGTCCTATAATGACCGGAGTGAAAGCTGCGTCATAATTCTCAGCAGTAAGATAAAAGCCATGCTAATTAAAATTAGTCATGCCTCTTTTTATCCCTGTTTTGCACCCACCGTTTTAGCAGTGTCAGCTGTATAAAGAGGCCCCAGAACCATCGGGCTACTTATAGCACAATGGCTTGTGGGCTGCAAGACATTAGCTGAGAAACCAAAGCTCTTAAAAACTCACATTTTTGTTGTTGTTGCTTAATTGGAAACACTGCATATCAAAATCCTTTTGTAATCTGCATTTTAATGTATTCATCTTACCTGCAAGGCCTTCTCATCAAAGGGTCGAAGTTTATTCTGTATCCTGTGTCTGGGGCGGGTTTGTGAGGAGGGGTCTGTAGCCTCAGTAAAGATAGATGAGTAATCCTGGAGTCGATCTGGGGCTGGGTACTTGGCACTGGAAAAAACCTATAGGCACAGAAACGTGGGGCTAATTGTTGTTTTTCAATGATCTTGTCACTTTATTGTGTCTCTATTGTGTATCATATTACATATCCAGTATGTAAAGCTGCCTTTTAAAGTGAAGCTGCTGTGTTACCTTGGTGGCCTTCTTACTGCCTTTGATCTTGTCGACACGGGCCTGAGCTAGTCTGATCCGGTCAGTGACGGTCTGCAGCTGTCTGCGGTTCTTCTCCACACTGTCAGATACCCTGGAAGCAACACACACATACACACCAACATGAGTGTGGACATACACACATCCACACACTATCGCATAATGCAATACATAGAGGAGTGCGTAACTTATCCCCTCCTTGTCCACATCCTTATTTATACTCTGCAGGGTGCTGAATCCGAAGAATGAACTAATGAAGTAATTGTAGACTTCTTGCATTTAATAACGATGAATTTCAAGTATTACACAGTTGTTTCAGCACTGATATCTAATTACTAACACATCACATTTCAAAAGGTGATATTGCCAACCAATTCTGCTATAAATGTCACTCTTTGAATGTAGTAACAGGAGACACTTCCTCCATTTTCAGAATGCCAGACAGCACCATCTTTTTTTCACCTTTATTTATTCACTGAGAGCCAGAGTGAAATATGTTATGCATGTTAAGAGTTCCTCTGTATTGACTATTTTTCCAGGAACAGGCTGATCACATTCACATCACACTATCTGATCTGCTGGCCACTGTTGGTGTCAAGGGCCTAGCTCATGGACACGGTGGTGGTAATGAGGGAGGTAAAGAGGTGATGTGGATCGAACCAACGCCCTTCCAGTCAACAAGCTCCCTTCTCTAACCTTTAGGCCACTGATGCAGACTGCCAGACTGTGCAAACTGCTGGACAAAATACGTTGAATTATAATTTCACACATTTAGTCTTTATAAAGACAGATTTTTGTCAAATATTGTGTGAAAAAAAGTTAATTAAAAGCTCCACCAGCTTGACTTTGACTTGAGTGGATTTGCCTTACCGTCTGCTCTAAAACAAGTGCCGTGGCACGAAATGTCATTTAGAATATGACTTCCATATGACTTACACATATCCACATTTTATTTTCTATCCAAAAATACTTACAGATGTTGTTGATTAGGCAACAGTCTTTTTAATTGGATTGACCTTATTTAAAACTGTATTCAAAAATGTTTCTTTCCATCAACTTAACACACTTTAAAAACATTTTAATTTTAAAAAATGAATAATTTAGAGAGAGGAGTGGGAGGGAGGGAGAGAGGAGGAGAGGAGAGAGAGGAGTGAGGGAGGCGAGGGATGAGGGGAGGGAGAGAGGAGAGAGAGAGAGAGGGCGAGGAGGAGGAGAGGAGAGAGAGAGAGACGTGGGAGGGAGGGAGGGGGGGAGGAGGGAGAGAGAGGGAGAGCGAGATGACGAGAGAGGAGCGGAGAGGATGAGAGCGACGAGAGAGAGGGAGAGAGCAAGAGGAGAGAGGCGAGAGAGAGGGGAGAAGAGAGAGCGAGGAGAGAGATTAGGGAGAAGAGGCAAGAGAGAGAGGGAGAAGAGAAGGCGGAGAGAGGAGAGGACGAGAGAGAGAGAATGGACGTGGAGTGAGTTGAGAGAGAGAGAGAGAGAGAGAGAGGGGAGAGCGGAGGAGAGAGGAGGGAGAGAGCGACGGAGAGAGAGAGAGAAGAGAGAGAAGAGAAGGAGAGAGAGGGAGAGGGAGGAGAGAGAGAGGGGAGAAGAACGAGAGACGAGAGGAGGGAGAAGCGCGGAGGGAAGAGAGGGCAAGAGAGAGGAAGAGAAGTTGAGGAAGAGAAGGAGAGAGAGAGGAGAGAGAGAGAGGATGAGAGGAGAGAGAGAGAAGGGAGAGAGGGACGAGTGAAGAGACCGGAGAGAGAGGGAGGAGAGAGAGGAGAGAGAGAGAGGAGGAGAGAGGGAGGGAAGAGAGAGAGAGAGGAGAGAGAGAGAGGAGAGGAGAGAGAGAGAGAGAGAGAGGAGGAATGGAGAGAGGGATGGAGAGAGAGAGAGAGAGAGAGGAGAGAGAGGAGAGAGAGGGATGGAGAGAGAGGAGAGAGAGACGGAGAGAGAGAGAGAGAGAGAGAGAGAGAGAGAGAGATTTTCTGGGCTTGCCTTCTGAAAATATCTGTAGAGATGGTCTCCAAATACAGTAATGCATCTGCTATCTGATGGACGGCCTCCTCTCTCCTCAGGTCTGGCTGGATGAGAGGCACTGAGTACACCTGGCCCTCCAGGCAGTGCTTCTGCGTCATCCTAAAGACAACGACACAGAACAAAGTTTGTAATCAACAACAAAGCTGTGTGCTCAAATAGTCAAACTCAGCATGACAGTAGTACAGTAAAGTAAATCACAGTATAACTGGGCGAGACAGCGTGTAATCAGAGTCACTTTTACGTTGCTCTCAATGTACAAACACAGACTAAGCATAAATAAACAGGACAACAAGCTCAGCAAAATAGACGTAAACTACTATGTACAGTTATAGATACATATATAATTTGTAGACAGAAGACAATAGAGTACAAAGGATGCTGAAATAAATATTTACGTGCAGATTTCTTTCTGTACATGAGGTAGATGGATATGACAGTATAGCACAGGTAGGTAGATGTATTTAAATGATTGTTTTTATGTTTTAAAAAAGGAAACTGAATCTCAACAATGGAAAAATAAATAGTTCACAACTAAAAATAATCTAAATAATCCAAATAATGGAATCTAAAATCTAGTCATTTTGATCAAAGAAGCAGTCACATCTTTCACAGTGATGTCTTGTTGCTCCAACACCACGAAAACTGTGATAACATGATCAACAAACAGCATCGTTAACTGAACCCTGACCTCTCCACCTCATCTGACTCTCACATGACACTTAGCTGCAGTATAATTACAAACTCTCCAATGTTTCACTGTTTCTGCTGCAACGTGTGTGAAATTGGCTCAAGCCGATCCTTGTAGCTGTGTATGATAATATCAACAGTTCACATGACGGAAACCCACAACACGGCTGTTTACTAGCGCATATATTCCAGATAAATCATTTAGTTGTATAATAATAATCAATGAAGCTAATTAACATTAATATACTGACAGCCTGTCCATGCTAAACAAGACATAAACCGGAAAAAACACGTTAATCGTTTACTAATACGTTAAACTGCGAGACCCGGGCGCTTGAAACACGAGTCTTACCTGACCATGTGTGTTGTTTACTTGTTGACGGTGACCGGGTAGATAAAATGATACAATAATAATAAGTTGCTAGGCTATCGATGCTAGCATCCGAGCTGATTAGCAAAACAACGGTTCCGCACTTCCGCATTCCCGTCGACACGTGACCACGCGAAGGTTCTGGTGTTGCCTTCAAGTTCTCTCAGGAAAGTCTGGAGTTTACTGTTCTCAGGAGCAAGCATACTGAGTTTCTAGTTAACAACAACATCATCTCCATCCTCACTCTAGTGCTTTCCGCTTTTATTCTTTATTCAGCCTCTCATTCTCGCATTTCATTTTTTCGGCGGTGCTCTCGTGTTTATTTACGTTTTAATTGTTTATCTATTTGCTGTATTTTATGTCCATATATTATATATATTATACTATGATATATAATATATATATATATATATATTTGTTCTGTATGTTGTTACTTCTTAAATAAATAGTGAACATAAAAATAAGAATATGTGAATATAATTTAGCCTGGCCCTTTGCTTAATTCTTTAATTTTATTTAATTATTACTTGAATGTCTCATCTTTCTCTACTTACATATATTCAGTATATTCTTTTTGTGTTATTATATTATTTCAATATGTCAATTCTGTTTGTTCTGTTCTGTTGTTTTTGTTTTTATTTCCAACAATATCTATTTGGTTGTTTCT